GCATCCATTCTATATATGTAATCAGCCCCTGGAACTTACCCAGGTTACCGCACAACAGAGTATATTTGGCCCGGGTATCTACCAGAACTAATAATACTTGTACATTAGTGGGGGACCAGTGGATAACCAGTTCCATGTGGGGCCAATGGGTATGTTACCCCCCTCCCTATTTAAACTTGAAGAAGGTATAGTCCCCTTCCTCCAAAAAACCTTGGGAGACTAGATAATCCTCTAGATGTAGGGGACATGCCTCTGTAGGTGCATTTTTTTTTGTACTGGGGATTGAACTCAGGGGCATTTGACCCCTAAGCCACATCCCCAGCCCTATTTTGTATTTTATTTAGAGACAGGGTCTCACTGAGTTGCTTAGTGCCTCACCATTGCTGAGGCTGGCTTTGAACTCACGATTTTTTTGTCTCAGCTTTCCAAGCCGCTGGGATTATAAGCATTTGCCACTGCATTCAGCTCCAGGTCCACCTTTGGATTTTGCTTCTTTACATGGAGGAACTGCTGGTCCCTATTCAACTATTTTCATAATTGTAGCAAATATGTGTTTGGCTTGCCATCTATTTTGTCTCTATTGACTTCCTGCTTCCAAAAGTTCTATCCACATTTGGGTTCTTGTTCCTTTTTTAAAAAAAATTTACTTTTTAGTTGTTGATAGACATTTTTTTCTTTCTTAATATATATATATATATATATATATATATATATATATATATATATATATATATTTTTTTTTTTTTAGTTTTAGGTGGACACAACATCTTTATTTTGTTTTTATGTGGTGCTGAGAATCGAACCCAGTGCCTCACGCATGCTAGGTAAGCGCGCTACCACTTGAGCCACATTCCCAGTCCAGACATTTATTTTTTAAATTTATATGTGGTGTTGAGAATCGAACCAGTGCTTCACACATGCCAGGCAAGTGTGCTACCTACTGCTGAGTCACAGCCCCAGCTCAACATTTTTTTTTTTTTTTTTTTTTAATATTTATTTATTTTTTTAATTCTCGGTGGACACAACATCTTTGTTTGTATGTGGTGCTGAGGATCGAACCCGGGCCGCACGCATGACAGGCGAGCGCGCTACCGCTTGAGCCACATCCCCAGCCCAACATTTTTTTTTTTTAAATGGGCTCTTGTTACCTTAATGGGTCTTTTTCTCATCAGAAGAGGTACTGAAGGGGTAGTCTTAGCAGTGGTTTGGACCCCCTTTTGTTGGCTTCAATCCTTCACTTTCCCCAGGATGACCACAATAATGGTTTCCTCATTAATAGGTGACCCACATAAGGAATTAAGATGGACATAAGGTCCCAAAAGATGACAATGGGGCATTCTGTGATATCAGGTCCTCATGCCAGCTATAAACTGTTCATCATTTGGCCCATGAGTATTCAAGTTAAACATGGCCCATCTCATCCCCAACACTCGCAGTGCCTGGACCAGGTATGCACATGATTACCATTTACTTATGGTCTCTGGGACATCCCCCACATTTGACCAAACAGTGAAGATAGCAGTCATTACCCAATCAAATAAAGAGTGGTATCCTTGTTCACCCCTGTGGCATTGACTTATGTAATCTCTGCTGCAAGGAGGGGTGAGTAATTATGGATGGTAATTTCTCCATTTCCAAGGCACTAAACATAATACTATCCCCTCCTAAATCCCAGAGGCATTAATAACCAAGTGGCCAAGGGTTTTCCTGGCGTCTGTCTAAATTGCTTTCCCAAGTCTGCCAACTCTGCTTGAATAAATGGTTGGTACATGGTAAACTTGGTTACCTGGGCCAGCTCTTCTGGCTGTTAACCCGAAGCCACCTGCTGTTATTGTTTTGTTTTCTGCATTACCAATGGTTGGATCCCCCTCTTCTTACTCCTTTAGCTCCACCAACACTATGGGGAAGGCTGAGGGTTATTTTTCCAAGGTACAGAGGTTCTCTTCTATTGATTGCATTATAGATTCCATGGTTTCTTTTTTATCCTGTAAGTCTTGCATCTTCTTGGTAACCTCCCATAGACTGTAAGGAACAACCATCCAATGGGCCCAGCAGTCAAACACACTACATTTTCCCATGCTCTCTCCCACCTGGTGTAAGACCTTTTTCAACCCTACGGGGGTACCATCAACCTCTGCCCATTCCTGTGGAGGGGCCCAGGTAGCCAGGATGTTGTAGGCTACTCAGAGACCAGGTCTATCAGCAGGAAACAGCACTTGTGTCAGCACTGGCTCAGCAGATCCTTATTCAAAGGCTGAACCTTTAGTGCAGGAGGGCATAGTCTTAGTCTTGTTAGTTTTCCTTTACATACTAGTTCTTTGTCTCCCATATAAGGTAATATACATTCCTACTTGGGCATTCTATTTCTATACTACAGAGTAGCAACAATGTTATAACTGAGTCCAGGAAGGCTCACATTGAATCTGATAGTTCTGACACAGGAAATCAGGGAGCTGAAACTCCAGACATCAGTTCTTGTGTTCTGATGAAAAGAAAATTTCAAGTCAGACACCAAAAGTCATGCAAGAGAACTTTATTATAGGTGAAAGTAAAGTAAAAGCAAAGTGAGACTTAAGCAGAAGGCACCGGCAAGAGAGAGAATGGGCCCTCTCCAGAGAATGACAAAGGAGACAATGCCATCTCCATTTATCACTGGTTCATGTTTACCAGAACTGGGAACCACCTTGTGTATTCTTTGTCAATCGGGTGTTCAACTCCTCTATCATGTTGGACAGTGGAGTTTGGGGGCCTTAGTTGGTCCTCTCTGGAACTGTCATGGTGGCCATGCTAGTTAGGGGGGCCATGTTACTGTGGGTGCTGGGGTCAATAGCTGGTCAGACATTACCTTCATGAGCCTGCACTGAAGGAATCTTCCTTCCCAGACAATTTGAGACACTTATAGCTATAATTCCTAGTTTTACATCAACATCAATCGACCCTGACAAGAGTTAGTCCCATCAGCCGGGAGTGGTGGCACAGGAGTTCAATCCTGGCACCAAAACAAAACAAAACACCCCAAGAGTTACTCCCATCAATTCTTTTCTCTTGACATGATTTCCAACTAGCTCCCTTGCTTCTGTTTATTTTATACAAATTAACTACCACCCTTTGCTTTCCTGCACCCACTGTCTGACAGGGTCACAGCATGGGGGATGCTGCAGCAGGGCCGCACCATCTGGAAACCTGAACCATGGGGAATGTTAAGTGTTTTGTTTATGAGACTCATGATATGGATAATAGGGCATATGTCAATCAATAATAAAAGTATATACTGCCTGAGATTGCAGGAAAATTCCCAGAATGAGACTAGGATACAATTAAGACATGCCTCAGGTGTGTTTCAATATCTCTCAGGATACAAACAATAGTGTTATTCCTCAAGAAATTCACAGGGAACTGATTGCAAATCGAGGTTCCTGAGAAAAGCTTAACAACTTACACTAATCTCCCTGTTCTAAAGCCACAACCTGTGCAACACACATTTTCCCCCCCAACAGACCCTCCTTTGCCTTACCCAGGAATTCATGATGCGAATGGGAAACACATAGTTAAAATTAATGGCAAATAGGTTGAGGTGCAGAGCCTGCCCTTTAGTTAAAGATTACAAAGACAGAAGAATTGGTGTGCTTTGACAAAGGATCAAAGTAACTCTTTAAGAAAGCAGTTAAATAGATGATATGAAAAAAGGAAATTACCTTGGAAAGTAAAAATAGAATAATGTAAAATTAAGAGATATATTTTAGCGGCACTTCAGAGTAGTAGGCTTTTAAGTAATAGACTTTCACTATTTTAAGTGTGTTTTACTGGGACTTTAGATTAGAAGAAAGCTTACCAATAATCATAGATATGCTTTAAAGTTAAAGGTTAATGAAAAAAATTATAGGTATGCTTTAAAGTTAAAAGTTAATAATAGATCAGGAGACATGTAGTCTAGTTGCATAGCCTAGCACCTAGTGGTTGAGGTGAAAATGTAAAAGCTTAATTATGATTGGCAAAGGTTATAGAAAAATATTTTAAACAATGTACTCAATATCTTAGGTAATCAATATGTGTCATAAAAGATTGTAACTCTTGAAAATTATGTAAATCAAAGAAGTTTCGGGCTTTGAGGCTATCCATTAACTACCTGAAAAAATACCTGCAAAAGATATAAAAATAAAGGCCCCTCTAAGGGCAGCAGATCCTTCTGGAGGCTGCTCCTAACTTGCAACCTATTGTCCTATCTCTTCTTTGGCCGATGCCACTCATTCTTCAGAACCCCTGGATCCCTGATGGGGCTGGACCCCGGCACTTTGTAAGTTGTTTAAAGACCCTAAAGTGATTTAAAGAACACTTGCGACCTTGCCTGCATTCCACCGCTCACTGCTAGTTACTACCTAACAGCCCCATGTTATCTTTTTCTTTGAGAAAATCTTTACCACAAGGAGCTTCGGCCACAGAATACCACATGCTCGTGGCTGGCCACCCTTCTACACCTTCCTCCATAGGTGGAGCGGGTTCCATACCCGGCTGCTGCTAGTCCTGCCAACTAGGCTCAACTGTAGTGCAACCGCTCAACCCCAGGCAGGCTGACTGAAGATGTGCGTATGCCGAAGTCCAAAGGCCGAGCCACAGGGAGACCTGACATGCCTTTATTCGATGGGTGGGCAATCCACTGAGAGGAAAGCCCTGTTCAGTTTACAGACAGAATTACAACAAAGCCGGCGGCGGGTCAAACAAGCCACCCTGCGCTTGTATAAGAATGCGCATGCGCCGTTTTCCTGCCTTACAGGAGGCATCTCAACCATTTCTTCCTAGTTATCCGGGTGAGCGAGGCTGATCGACTCCATTTTCCTTACAAGGTGTAAAGTAGGAGAGAGGAAGAATGAATGTCTCTGGTGTCTGCCTTGCCAGCGGCCCACCTTCTCGGGTTTCCCGCGGGCGCTTTCGGGCGGGGCCTAGCTTCCGGAAATGCCGGCACTCAGTCCTTCCGGTTGCCGCTGGCGGTTGCTAAGCTACGCGCGCCCGCGCAGAAAGCGGTGGCAGGTGAACCCGGTTGCTGGGACTGCCGAGCTTCTTGCCTTGCGAGCGGTGGGCTTCCGCCTCACCCAGGCTCCTGCCGAGAACTTTGTCCTGCTTCCCTCCTCGACCCTTCAGGAGGCCCCTGATCAGGTGGCTCTGAACCCCTGCTCCGTTCTCAGGACCCACTCTCGACCCCTGACCTTACTTTTTCAACCGCTCCGAGACTCCTGCACCGCGTCCCCTGTCCCCGTTTCTTTCAGTTGCCTGGGGAGTTCTGGTGGAGGATCTCCCCTATCAGGGAGACTGAAGCATGGGGCCCGCCGGGGTCCCCGTGCCTCCGGAAGAGGAGGCGGGAAGATATGCTGTCGCCCCTGACTGCTCAGGTGCGCCGCCCGGCCTCGGGTGGGAACGTCGCCTGGTTCTTGTTTGAGAGGCTGGGTTGGTTGGGGTTCCTGAAGTCGGTCCCAGTGGGAGCCGGAGAGGGGGAGGAGCGTGTGACCCGGCAGTAAGCACAGTGCTTTGACTTTTCCTGTTCTGGTTTTTAGCTTCTCCTGTGTAATCAGCTGCCCTTTTGGAAATTAGGCAGGGGTTGCGACTGCATGCGATGCCACTGACTGGCTTTCAGCATACCATGCAGAAGTAAGATGTTCCCGGCATTGGAAACCGAGCGAAAGCAAGAGGTCGGTACACGCCCCCTCCAACCCATCCCCGCAAAACTCCACAGAAATCCAACCCTAGATCAGAAGGTATATTCTGGTGATACCTTTGTCCAGCTGAAGATCTTGGTCCTCAAGGTAGAATAAGTAGCATGGATTTCACTTGGTTTGTTTACAAAGGCCCTCAAGTACACTGTCCTATGCAACAAGGCTTGTGAGCTTTCCGTGAGGAATTCAGTGTCATTTGAAAGGGCTTTCCTGACTTAGATGGCTTTTCCTTTCACAGACTCTTCCTGATCCCTATGAGGACTTTATGTACCGTCACCTCCAATACTATGGCTACTTTAAAGGTAATACGTTCCCATCCAACATCACCTTTCCTGGGTTCAGGAGGTGAATTGTTTCATTAATTGGAAGAGTTGTGCTTGGATAGACTAGTACGTCGTTTTTCCAGTCCACTAGTGAAAAGTCCTCCCCCAATGATCTTCTATGATACCTCTATCAAGTGAGAGACTTGCTTTATACAAAGGTCTATTTTAAGCTTTCTCTTTTATTGGTGTGTTTGTCTATCCTTGCCACCAATTCCACCATCTCTTAATTACTATGTGAAGTTAAAATACTCCTGATATCTGGAAAGGCATGTTCTCCCACCTTGCCCCTTGTACTTACTTATTCTTCAGAAGTGTCTTGACAACCACAATTCTTCTTCTTCTTTCTTCCTCCTATCTTCTCCTCCTCCTCCTCCTTTTTTTTTTTTTTTTAACTGAGGATTGAACCCAGGGACACTTAACCACTGAGCCACATCCCCAACTCTTTTTAATTTTGAGACAGGCTCTCACTAAGTTGTCCTTGAACTTGCAATCCTCCTGCCTCGGCCTTTCAAGTTGCTGGGATTACAGGTGTGCCCTACCATGCCTGGCTTGACTGTTTCATTTTCTAAGTGATTATTCATTTGTCAAACTGAATTTCTGGTTTACCAGATTCAGAACATAATGCCCTCAGGGCAAGTGTCTTCTGGCTTCAGTGCTTTGCTTCCATCATGTTAACCTGCCTTCACTTGGATTTGGCTCTCTTGGCAACTTTTGCAGCCACTGTTCTTTCTCCCTCCCAAGTCCTTTCTCATTCCACTATACCATAATGCTTCTCTAGTCTCCTCACTCTCTCATTTCCTCTGTGGTAAATAGAGATAATCTTGCTTAATTCACATAAATTGGAATGTGAAAGCTCTTTTAAAAATGGAATAAATAAAGGCCCAAGGTAATAGGCAGCAATAATAGTAGTGGTGGTTTAGGTATTGACCTTGATGTTAGAGGTGATGAGCCAGCCTGCTAACAACTTTAATTAAACCATTTATTCTTAGCCCAGAAAGGCAGTTTACCAAACTCAGCTACACATCAGCATGTTCAGAAGAATAATCCTCACTACCTACTGAATGTCTCTTTTGGAGAAAGAAATGATTTGATACCAGATACTCTGCAAAAGGAGAAACTTCTGTGTGAGTAGTAATCAGTGTGGGTGATCCCCAGAATGTTTCTGCCTTGACAACTCCTCCAGAAATTCAGGAAAATGTGGCCTTATGTGGGGAGAGGCCAAGGAAGGGGCTTTGGCTCCTATTTCTGACCTCACTCAAAAATGTTCTCTAGATCTACTTTGGTTTACAGATTTAAATTAAAAAGCTGTATGTTGGGGCTGAGGTTGTGGCTCAGTGGTAGCTGTGAAAGGCCTTGTGTTTGATCCTCAGCACCACATAAAAATAAATAAATAAAATAAAGGTATTGTGTCCAACTACAACTAAAAAATAAATATTTTTTAAAAAATAAAATGCTGTATGTTCTAAATTTTCTTAAAATGTCAAAAATATATTAAGATTCTTTTATCAAGAGAATATATTAATTTTTGCACACAGTTTTGGTGAGTGTGCTTATAAGGCTCTGTGCATAAGAGTAGAGGAAACCAATTCCAGCTAGCTTAAGTAAAAGCAATTTTTTAGGGGGTATTTTCATCTTAAATCTAAGGTCCAAAATGCAGTTGAATTTTTCTCTCAATATATATCCAGCCAGGGCTGGGGTTGTAGCTCAGTGGTAGAGCACTTGCCTAGCACATGTAAGGCACTGGGTTGATCCTCAGCACCACATAAAAATGAATTAATAAAACAAAGGTATTGTGTCCAACTACAACTTGTCTTCTTCATAAGCTGCCTTGTTTTTCTTTCTTTCTTTTTTTTAAATATATTTTTTTTTAGTTGTCAACAGGCCTTTATTTTATTTATTTATATGTGGTGCCAAGAATCGAACCCAGTGCCTCACATATGCTACACAAGTACTCTGCCACTGAGCCACAATCCTAGCCCTTCATAAGCTCCCTTTCAACCGTACATATCAGTCCATGCTGCCATCATTTTTCACTATTGAAACAGCCTACAAATTGCCTCCTGGCTCCTCCTCATTCCATGCTGCACCCTCCCAATCCATCCATCCATCCATTTTTTTTTTGTGATGCTAGGGATTGAACTCAGGGTTTTGTGCACGTGAAGTAAGCACTCTACTAACTGAGCTATTTCCCCAGCCCTTCAGCAAGTTCTGAGAGTACTGTTTTGCTGGGATGAATGTAAAGTCTTGCCCATTAGGTAAAAAAAAGGATCTCTTTGTGACTTTGATTTGTATTTCTTTCTTCTTCTTCTTTTTTTTTTTTTTTTTGTGTGGTGCTGAGGATTGAACCCAGGGCGTTGTGCATGCAAGGCAAGCTTTCTACCAACTGAGCTATGTCCCCAGCCCACTTTGATTTACATTTCTATAATTATGAGTGAAATCCAGCAGCTATTACCACTTTTTCATTGCCTTTTCTCCCCCATTAAATTATGATACAGTTAAGAAATGTAGCTGGCCAGGGTGGCGCATGCCTGTAATCCCAGTGGCTTGGGAAGCAGGGACAGGAGAATCATGAGTTCAGAGCCAACCTTAGCAACTCAAAGTGAGGCCCTAAGCAACTTAGTGAGACCCTGTCTAAAAAAAATATAAAGGACGACTGGGGATGTGGCTCAGTGGTTAAGTGTCCTTGGGATCAATCCCCAATACCAAAAAAAAAAAAGATAAAAAGAAAGAAACGTGGAAGCCCAACATTTGGGTGAGAAGGAATGAGGTGAGGGACAGTGGGCAAAAAAGAGAAGGACAAAGACCTTAGGACAAGTTGTGCCTTCTTTCTCTTTCTATGGCCTGTTTATCTTCAGCTTGCATATTCAGATAGAGGCTGTAAGCAGAGGTGTTTCATGTCCTTCCAGACCAGGAATTTCAGACTCTTTGGTGGGAATGTGTCTTCACCTCCTGCTCTCCCTGCCTAAGCCAGGCCTGGAATTCACATCTGATGTGAACTGAGAGGCCTTCAGACTGCAGTTTCTGCTTTCCTCTTCTTTTCTTTCTTTGTCTCTTTTCCTCCCCGGCCTTCCTGAAAGCTTTTTTACTCTCATTCTTCTCACCACCTCTCCCTACAAGCTCTTCTCTCTTCTGCTCCTTTCCATCCTCTTTATTTTCTAAGCCACTTTGAACTTTCAGATGAATACATCATGGGCCTGAAACTTAATTTATAGGTTGTTTCACTGTAATTAATAAAGTTTTATGCTAGTTGGTGAATTGAAAATTCTGTCATTCCAAACAAAATAAAATAATATGACATATTAAATATCCTTTTATTTGTGTAACTTACTGTTGAAATGTCTTGGACTTAATAATTAAAATTTTTTCTAACTTACTCTGAAGCTTTATATTAAAACATTTAAAGGATTATGCAGAATTTTAATATAACATTTTATAATTTCAAATCTATCATCCTGGATTAAGTCTCCTTCTTAAAGGATAAATATTATCATTAGCACTAGACATATATGCTAATATTTTAATATAGTGCTTAGAATTACTTAGCTGGTATAGATGAGCAATAAGGTTTCCAAAGAGAAAAAGAAAGTTGTTCATGCATTTCCTCTTCCCTTTGACAGATTCACTTATGTTGAGTTCACCACTTCTTAGGAGCAGACAGCTTCTTTTTGATGAGTTGGACCAAGTAAACCCACGTCTTCGAGAACCTCGAGAACTCTTTGCCTTTTTCTCTAGCAAAGGGACACTTCAGGCTCCAAGATGGCCAATAGAATGTGAGGTCATCAAAGAAAGCATTCATCATATTGGTAATATGATTTATGTGTGGTGGTCTTGCTGTTTTGCCTGACTTTATTTCAAGGCCTTAGAATTTAAAGTCCTATACGCTGAAGTATGAGACAGGACAGAGTCAACATCTATAACTTACCCTGAAATGGTTAAGCTCTGGGAAACTGATATATTTCACCATTAAAAACTTACATCAAGGGCTGGAGATGTAGCTCGTTTGGTAGAGTGCTTGCCCCTCTGGGTTTGATCCTCAGTACCACATAAAAATAAATGAAGATTTAAGAAAAAAAAAGTTACATCAAATTGTAAACTAGAGTGGAATAGATATAATTGATGAAAGATATATACTCCAGAATAGTTTTTACTGTTTTTAAATATATTTTGAGTTTATTTGAGTTTTGGGGGGGAATGATAGGGTCTTTTTATGATATTAGTAACCATAAAGATGATGTAAGCACAATCTTTTCTTTTTTTATATTTTTTTAGTTGTCAATGGACTTTTTTTTTATACCTTTGTTTTATTTGTTTATTTTTAATGTAGTGCTGAGGATCGAACTCAGGGCCTCGTACATGCTAGGCGAGCACTCTACCACTGAGCCACAAGCCCAACCCCATCAATGGACTTTTATTTGTGCATGGTGCTGAGAATCGAACCTAATGCATGCCACATGCTAGGCAAGCGCTCTACCACTGAGCTACAACCCCATACCAAGCACAGTCTTTTCTTGTGTGTGTGATACTGGGGATTGAACTCAGGGTCTCATGCATGCTAGTTAAATGTTCTACTACTGAACTCTACCCCCAACCCACAATCTTTTGCCTCTATTTTATGAAGCATTTACAGAAGTGGCTTGCGTGAAAAAGGAGACTTCTAACTACTAGAATATTTAATCTACCAAACAATAAATCTGTGCTTTAAACTTCTGGATAAATAATTGGTTGTTTCATATTTTCTCACTGTCTCCTTATAATATTCATTCGATTAATGCATGTTAGCATTCACCATATGCTAACCTAAGTGCTTGGTGCTAGAACTACAATGATGAGCAAGTGGAGGTACCGAGAGCTTATAGACTAGTGGGGACATTGAGCATTTACTAGGTAATTGTATGGAGTTATGTCCCTCTAGGGACAACTACCAGCCTGGAGATCACTTCAGGTTTCCAAAAGGAGTGCACATGAAAGCTGAAATCTGAAAGATGATTTAGAAGTGACCCTTTTAACTGGAGAGAGTTAGATAAAAGTAGTACATGTGGAAGAAACACAAAGAACATGGCATGTTTTAGGAACCATGGGCACTGAGCATGAGAGACAAGAGATGAGAAGCTGAAAATACTTGCAGGGACCCACTCAGTATTCTCAACTAGGGATAGCACTGCTCTTGGGGTGTTTGGGAATGGAAGAGGGCATTTTGATTTGGTACAACGACTAAGAGAGCTAAAATCATCATGTACTCTGTAGTTTTTATATACAAGTCCAATTTGATCTGGCCAGACAATAGGATTTTGCTATTCCATATATAAAAAGCAAAAATGAATGGGTACTAAACAAAGATAGAATTCCTAAAATTTTTTTTCCCCCAGTGCTGGATATTGAACCCAGAACTTAATGTATGGTAAGCACATGTTCTACGACTAAGCCACATCCCCAGCCTTCATATGGGAATTTGGAACTTGACTCTAAGAAGTACAGAAAAAAAAAAACTGGGAAACTAGAATTTAATAATCACATTATTGCAGTGCTAACAATTCATATCTATTTATTTATTTATTTTGGTACCAAGGATTGAACCCAGGTGCGCTTAACCATTTAGCAACAACCCCAGACCTTTTTATATTTTTATGTAGAGACAGGGTCTCTCTGAGTTGCTTAGAGCCTCACTAAGATGCTGAGGCTGGCTTTGAACTTGTAATCCTCTTGTCTCAGCCTCCTAAGATGCTGGGATTACAGGTGAAGCAATTCTTAAAAAAAAAAATCCTAGCAGCCAGGTTTGGTGGCACATGACTACAATCCCAGCAACGCAGGAGGCCAAGGCAGGAGGATCACAAGTTCAAGGCCAGCATCAGTGATCCTACTGAGGCAAGACTCCATCTCAAAATAAAAAGGACTAGGGATATGGCTCAGTGGTAAAGTGCTCTTAGGTTCAATCCCCAGTATCCACCCACCTCAATTTTTTTCCAAAGGAAATTTATTACCAAGTATCTTATAGTTAAACTGAATTGCCAAAGCCTCAAAGAAATTATCATCTGCTGGGTGCAGTGGTATATGCCTGCAATCCCAGTGACTAGAGACTGAACAAGAGAATTGCAAGTTCATGGCCAGTGTGGGCAATTTAGCAAGACCCCTTCTCAAAATTTAAATTTTTCAAAAGGCTTGGGGATGAAGCTCAGTGATAAAACACCCCTTAGTCCAATCCTGAATGTACCTAACACACATACACACACACACACACACACAAAAGAAAAAAAAAAGAAGAAAGAAATTAGCATCATCTTTTACTGAGTTCTTTTTCTTTTCTTTTCTTTTTTTTTAATGTTTCTAGCTTTCATCCCATGTGAGAAATCTTTCTAATTCAGTGCTAATGTAAATGCTTTGTTTCTTCTGAAACAAATAATAGAGTTGTTCCTTTATAGTAATAAAAAGGATATAGCTGGCCCCATTTTCCTGATTTCAAGGAAGTACAGAGCTATTTTGAAGAGTTGTTGTAGCAACTGTATTGACCTTTCAGGCTTAAGTATTCCATTTAAAATTTATTATTTCATTGTATATGCTTTTTTGTGAAAAGTTTCCTCATATATTTTTATGGAAAGAAGCAAGACATAATTAATTTACAGATAAGCTGGAAATTTGGGATAAGAATTTGGTTTGATTTGATCAAACTAGTCATTTGAATAATTGATATTTTTTATTAGTTCTGATAATACCTTGTATATTTCTTATTTTGTGCTTTTTAAAATGCCTTATTTCAGAGTGGGTTCCACCTCAGCCAGAATATTTCTATCAACCTACAGGAAATGAAAAGGTACCAGAAATTGTAGGAGAGGAAAAAGGCACAGTTGTCTACCATTTAAATCCAGGTATTGAAAAGTGAATGATTAATCATGACAAAGTTATAGTAATAAACTTATTTCCCATAATTGAAGTGATTTTAAAATCCTAGTTTACTAATGGATAAACTGCCTTTACCAGACCAATGTAAGTGGGAGCCCCAATAGTCATGACTCAGTTTTAAAATTTCAATAGTTTTTTTGAAATGATGGCACATTGTACATTTTCTTAGTAGCTTGAAGTCCATTTTATAGTTTCTCTCTTATTCCCCCTGGAAATCAGACACTGAATTACATTATGGGGAGCTTGCCCTTCTTTTCTCTACTTCCTGAGTATACTTTAGTGAGTATTTTGTTGCTTTGTGTATGTGACAGTCACTTAGGATGTGGTTGCCTACATAAGTTGTAGGCTTCTAAGGACAGAATCCATGTCCTTCATAAAAATATGAAGAATATCTGCTGGGCGCAATGATGCAGGTCTGTAATCCCAGCAGCTGGGGAGTCTGAGGCAAGAAGATAGCGAGTTCAAAGCCAGCCTCTGCAACTTAGCAAGGTCCTAAGGCAACTCAGGAAGACCTTATCTTAAAATAAAAAAGAAAAAGCTGAGAACTGGCCACAGTGGCTCACGCTTGTAATTCCAGCAGCTCTGGAGGCAGAGGCAGGAGGATCACCAGTTAAAAGCCAGCCTCAGCAATTTAAGGCCTAAGTAACTTAGTGAGACCCTGTCTTTAAATAAAATATATAAAAGGGCTGGGGATGTGGCTCAGTGGTTAAGCGTCCCTGGGTTTAATCCCCAGTACCAAAAAATAAAGAATGGCTGGGATGTAACTCAGTGGTATGGTGCTCCTGGATTCAATCCCCAGCACTGAAAGGGAAAAAAAAAGAAAAAAAGGAGAAGATGGAAAAGGAAAGCAGAAGATTATAACCAACAACAACAAAATACCTTTTCTTTTCAAGAACACCTGTTAGATTTCCCAGGATAGACATAATCTAAGCTACAAAGCAGGTCTTAATACATTTTAAAAGAGTAAAATAATACAATATCCTATATTTTCTGACTACAACAAAATTAAGTTAGAAATAAACAACATAATAAAATCTGGGAAACCCACAAATATTTGGAAATTGAACTACGTTTTTTGGGGGGGGCATGCTGGGGATTGAATTTAGGGGCACTTAACCACTGAGCCACATCCCCAGACTTATTTTGTATTTTATTTAGAGACAGTGTCTCACTGAGTTGCTTAGCACCTTGCTTTTGCTGAAGCTGGCTTTGAACTCACTATCCTCCTGTCTCAGCCTCCCGAGCCACTGGGATTAACAGGCATGTGCCACAGCGCCCAGCTCGAAATACATATTTCTAAATAATCTATGTGATAAAGGAATCACAAGATTCAGGTGCACTGTTGTAAACATGTGATCCCAGCAACTTGGGAGACTGAGGCCAGAAGATCACAAGTTCGAAGCCAGCCTCCGCAACTTAGTGAGACTCTAGGGATGTATCTCAGTGGTAAAGCACGCCAGTTTGTTTACCCATCTACTGTCCCCATCCCCGGTTGGTGGAGACCATGAGGACAGAAGTCCTCGTTCGTGGTTTGGCATGCTCATGGTGGTACTGGGGAGAGCAACATGGGCCTCATCCTCAAAACTCTGTGGTTGTGATTTCTTTTGTCTGTCTTAAACTCTGTGAGGACCCAGAGCAAAGACTGGCTTTTATTTCTCTCCTTTGGTTGGAACAGTTTTACCAAGTGGCATCTGACAAAACATTTAAAGACATACAACTGCCTATTGCCTCTTGGGGCAAGGGATGGCAGATGGGGCAAGCAACAAACAGGCCCAAAAGCCTGGGGAGGAAGAGATGAGGAGGAAGATTTTTGGGAGAGATGAAGTTCTGGAAGTGTTACCACATAAGTCAAAGAATGTGATGTGCATAGGCTCAACCCATTCGGAAAAGACCTGAGAAGATCCTTGGACTTGCACCTCTGGTTGGGCTTTGGGCTTTGTGTGGGAAGGAGGTAAAGCCTGAGGTTACAGGCTGGGTTAGTATTGAGGAGTGTACTGCCTCAGAGCCAATCTGGAAAGACTAGGAAAGATTTATGATTTTAATTTTTTTAAACTTGTTTGTTTGTTTACAGTACTATGGATTGAATCCAGGGGCACCCTACCCCACCTCCCATACCCTTCTTTTTTTTTTTTTTTTTTTGAGACAGGGTCTTGTTAAGTTTCTGAGGCTGACCTCAAACTTAAGATCCTACTGTTTCAGCCTCCTGAACTGCTGGGATTACAGGCATGTCCCACCACACACCTAGTTTTTCTGTGTTTTGTTTTTTAACTCTAGGTATTTAAGGATATCTCTGTCAGATCATGGCTGACCACTGATTGAATGAATCAAAGATTTAGTGATGAGCTGCGGTTGTGGCTCAGTGGTAGAGCACTCGCCTCTCACGTGTGAGACCCTGGGTTCGGATCCTCAACACCACATAAAAAATGAATAAAATAAGGATATTGTGCCTATGTATAACTAAAAAAAATTAAAAAAAAAAAAGATTTAGTGACTACACATAGCAAGGAGTAACATCATTCTCAATGGTGAAAGACTAGAAGCGTTCCCTCTAGGATCAGGAAAAAGATGAAAATATGCCCAGTTTACTACTTCTATTCAAAATTGTATTGGAAGTTCTAGAAACAATTAGATCAGCGGGAAAAAAAACACCTAAAAAATGGAAAGGCATTCCATGTTCACAGATTGGAAGATTTAAATTTGTTAAAATGGCAGTATTACTCAAACATCTACAAATAAAAATCCTTATCAGAATTTCAATAACTTTAAAGAAAAATTTCCAATGGCCTCTTATGCAAAAATGGAAAAGGTGACCCTCAAATTCATATGGAATTGCAGGAGTCTGTATTAAAAAAGAAATGATAAGTTGGAGGACTCACACTTCCTAATTTTGTAATATGCTACAAAACTGTATAGTAAAGGCACAGGATTAGCATATAGATCAATGAACTTGAATTGAGAGCCCAGAAATAAATCTATACATAAATAGTCAGTTGCTTTTCAATAAGGGAAAGAATAATCTCTTTAATTGTTGATTCTGAAACAATTGGATATGCACATGCAAAAGGATGAAGTTGGATCTCTCCTTCATACATGTAAAAAAATTAAAATGAATCTTATGACTTAAGAGGAAGTGCTAAAATTATAAATATTTTAAGAAAACAGTGTAAGGCTGAGAATGTAGCTTGGTAGTAGAGCAGTTGACTAGCACGCAGGAAGCCCTTGGGTTCAATTCCCAGTACTGCAAAAAGCAGATGTAAACTTCACCTTGGATTTGGCAACACATTCTAAATGTAACACCAAAGACATTCAGAGGGTTGGGGATGTAGCTCAGAGTGGTAAGAGTATTGACTAGCAGGGCAAGGCCCAGGGTTTGATCCCAAACACTGAAAAAAAGGGGCATGATTCATAAAAGGAAAATTGATAAATTGAACTTTATCTAAATTAAGAACTTTTTACTATTTATTTATTTTTTAATATTTGTTTTTTAGTTTTAGGTGGACACAATATCTTTATTTATTTTTATGTGGTGCTGAGGATTGAACCCAGTGCCTCATGCATGCTAGATGAGCATTCTACCACTGAACCAAGACCCCAGCCCCAACTTTTCACTATTTAAAAGATATTACTAGGGCTGGGGTCGTGGCTCAAAGGTAGAGTGCTCACCTAACATGTGTGAGGCCCTGGGTTCAATCTTCAGTATCACATAAAAATAAATAAATAAAATAAAGGTATTATATCCAACTACAACTAAAAAATAAATATTAAAAAAAAAGATATTATTAAGCCCCCACTGGCTGCTCTGAAAAGCCATCTTGCATTGTTCCTGGGTCCAGCTCCCCACTCGCCACAACCACCTTCCCGGCCTGCGGACTCCGCAGCTTTATCGCCAGAGTCCCTGAACTAGTTTCCTTTTTAACCCACTGCATCGGATCACCAGCATGCCCCACCATGTCAGACGGCTGTGGACACCAAGGACTTAAAGGAGAAGGAAGTTGTGGAGGAGGCAGAGAATGGAAGAGACGCCCCTGCTAATGGGGATGCTAATAAGGAAAAGGAGGAGCAGGAGGCTGACAATGAGGTAGATGAGGAAGAGGAAGACGGTGGGGAGGAAGAGGAGGAAGGTGATGGTGAGGAAGAGGATGGAGATGAAGATGAGGAGGCTGAGGCAGCTACGGGCAAAAGGGCAGCTGAAGATGACGAGGATGATGATGTTGATACCAAGAAGCAGAAGACCGAGGAGGATGACTAGACACCAAAAAAGGAAAAGTCAAACTAAAAATAAAAGGCCACCGTGACCTATTCACCCTCCACTTCCCATCTCAGAATCTAAACGTGGTCACCTTGGAGAGGCCCACCCGCCCGCCCACCACGGGCAGTGCCACCCGCAGTGACACGCGCTCTTCACCACCCAACCAAAACCACAACGTGAGTTTGCAACAGGGGAGGAAAAAAAGAACCAAAACTTCCAAGGCCTTACTTTTTTTCTTAAAAGTACTTTTAAAAAGGAAAATTTGTATTTTTAATTTACATTTTATATTTTTGTACATATTGTTAGGGGTCAGCCATTTTTAATGATCTCGGATGACCAAACCAGCCTTTGGAGCGTTCTCTGTCCTACTTCTGACTTTACCTGTGGTGTGACCATGTTCATTATAATCTCAAAGGAGAAAAAAAAACCTTGCAAAAACAACAACAAAAAATTCTTATTCCGAGCATTCCAATAACTTTGTGTATTTACTTTAGCTGTACTATAAGTAGTTGGTTTGTATGAGATGGTTAAAAAGGCCAAAGATAAAAAGGTTTCTTTTCTTTTTTTCTTTTTTTTGTCTATGAAGTTGCTGTTTATTTACTTATTTTTGGCCTGTGAAACAATGTTGTCCAACAATAAACCAGAATTTTATTTTGCTGAGTTGTTCTAACAAACAAAAAAAGATATCATTAAAAATGAAAGGCAGGGGCTAGGATTGTGGCTCAGCAGTAGAGCACTCGCCTCCCACCGGCGGGACCTGGGTTCCATCCTCAGCACCACATAAAAATAAAGGCATTGTATTGTGTCCATCTACATCTAAAAAATAAATTTAAAAAAAATGATAGGCAGGATGGACTAGGTTGTGGCTCAGTAGTAGAGCACTCACCTAGCATGTGTGAGGCCCTGGGTTTGATCTTCAGCACCATAAATAAATAAAATAAAGGAATTGTGCCCACCTACAACTTAAAAAAAATGATAGGACAAAAATAGTTGCAAATCAACTTCTTTTGTTTCTTTTAGGGCACCAGGAATTGAACTCAGTGACAGTCTACCACTTAGCTATATTCCCCAGCCCTTTTAATTTTTTATTTTGAGACAGAGCCTTGCTAAATTGCCCAGGCTGACTTCCAGCTTACAATCTTCCTACTCAATCTCCTGAGTAGTACCTGGAATTACAAGAGTATGACACCATGCTTGACATTAATTGTACCTTTTTTTTTTTTTAAGCAAGCAAGCCACAGAGACTCAATTCTCCAAAGAGAAAGGGCCCCAGAACTGGGAATCTGCAGGGGAGTTTTGGCCTGTTCTATTTATGGTCTCTGGAATTTCTTCCTTTCCTTATCTCCTCTCCTTTCCATGGTCTCCTCACTATTATTGATTGGTGCCCTCTCTGTCCATATGTCTGTTTTAGTTTTTCTTTTGGATTCCCACTTAGGAGCATAGGTACAGAAGTATCTGTCTGATTGGGTCCCCTCTTGTGTCCACGTCCCACTTCAGAGCATAAATATGGAAATGTCTGTCTGATTGGGCCCCAGCTTATGTCCATGAGTATTTTCATTAAGCAGAAAGTTGATCTCATCAGAAGACCCTCTTCATGCTCCTTTGTTCTGGCCATGCCCCCATCCTCCTCACTTGCCATCTTGCCCTGGCTGCCTAAGTCCTTCTATATCTCTCTCAATCCCCCATCTCAGAGGATACCCAGCTACTGTTGGGAGTTGGGGCAAAAACCACCCTAGCCATTTAAGGCTGACAAGAGGTATCATTGAAATAACTGGAATATTCTTCTGAGGAAGGTTTAGGACAAGTGGGAAGCAGCAGGCTGATCAAGGGGTCTATCCTAGTCTAGAGGGATGTCCACTGGGGACTCCATTTGTAGCACCATCTGAAGTTTAATTGTCTCTTTGAGTCAATGGTTTCTATCCAGGATGAGTCCCCAGTTGAAAATTTAAATATTATTGCTGTTAACCTAGGGTAGTGCTGACCAGGTAGAGGGGTTCAGTAAATATGTGCTGAATGAATGGATTCTGAGTGGAACCTGACTTAAAGATGTCTCTTTATCTACAGTGCCCACTGAAGGTTCCTATTTCACCAGTTCAAGAGTGGGAGGCAAACGAGGAGTTATCAAGGAACTTGCTGTCACATTGGAAGGACCAGAAGATGATACTCTACTCTTTGAGTCAAGATTTGAGAGTGGGAATCTGCAAAAAGCTGTCCAAGTGTGAGTAACCAGGAATTTCCCAATAGAATGATGATTGAGAGCCTTAGAGGTATCTTCAGGAATGATTTCTGGAGTGAGGAATGTTTGCTAAAAGGGGTGATGAGAAATGGTTACAAGGGTGGAGAATTCTCGCTGGGACCTGCACAGGCGATGGAATGGAGGTTCCTCTTGGTGGAATGGGCTAGCTTTGAAATAAAAGCTAAGAAAGACAAAACAGCAAAAAAAGTACAGAACACGAAAATAATTTTAAAAAGCAGGCGTGGGTCAGACTAACTGATCTTTTCCACATTGAAAAGAGCAATGGAGCCTGTGCTTGCTTTATTTATATGGGGGAACATCAGAGGTTTTCCATGGAATGTTTATTGCCAAATAAGATAGGAGGTGGGCTGTCCAGTTTCCAACGGGTTACTCCCAATGCCAGAGTTATGAGAGAGGTCTTCCTAGTAGAGCAGAAATAGAGGTCACATGCATTGGGCAATCCATTAAATGGGAGGAGCCACAAACTAGTTTGCACTGCCAAACCTAAATCCCCCTGCCTCAATACCCAGTGAAGACCCTCAAGTAATTCATGGGTGGCTCCCTGTAGAGAATATAATAATTATGACTCCTGTTTTCCCCCCAAAATAAAGCATTTATCTAAATTGTTTCTTCTAAATCTGGTATGGTAGTGTACACTTGTAATCCCAGCTACTTAGGAAGCTGAGAAAGGAGGATTACAAGTTCAAAGCCAACCTCAACAATTTAGCAAGACCCTGTCTCAAAAAATAAAAGGACTGGAGATGTAGCTCAATAATAAAGCACCCTTGGGCAAAATTCCCAGTACCCCCCACCAAAAGTCCTATAATCAGACCTCCCGGATACAGTAACTAGTTTTGTGTATATACCTTAATATTTGTGTGTGTATAATATACACAAAGTGTATATTTTTAAAATTAAAAATTGGATAATGGTGTAATGTTTTACAAATTGCTTTTTTTCCCATTTGATAAATTTTAGGTATTTTTCTAGGGGAGTATCACAGATATGCCTCCTTGGTTTTGTTTTTGTTCTATTTTTTTTTTTTTTTTTAAGTGCTAAGGATGGAACCCAAGGCCTCACGTACTAGGCAAGTGCTCTATCACTGAGCTACAACTGCAGTCCTGCCTCCTTATTTTTAATAGTGCCAGCTGGGAGCTGTGACATGCACCTATATTCCCAGCTACTCAGGGGGCTGAAGCAGGAAGATCACTTGAGCCCAAGAGTTCAGAACTAGCCTGGACAACTAGTGAGAACTCATCCCAATATATAACTAGTGAACATTATCCTATTGTATGGATATTCCATACCTTGCTCTAAACTGGTATGAATTATGTTTATAGTTTTGCTTAATCACTTAGCAGAATTAACACATTTATGCATTATCTTTTTAATTATGGTGGTTTAGGGGATGAATTCTAGAAATAAAATTGTGAGGTCAAAGGGTTTGAACACTAGTTTTTGCCAAATTGCCCTCCAATATGATTCTGTTTCTCATCTTCAATATATAAGAGTGCTTCTTTTCCAAAGCTGGGATGATGAGCAGATAAAGGGGGAAATTGCATCTTTTTTTTAACTTTGAACAAGTTTTGGGGGGCTGGGGTTATGGCTCGGTGGTAGAGCGCTCGCCTTGCATGTACAAGGCCCTGGGTTCGAACCTCAACACCACATAAAAATAAATAAATAAATAAAATAAAGTTATATAAAAAAAATGTGTACTAGGCATTAAGGGCCTCCCATGTGCTAAAAATACACCATACCACTGAACTAACCTCCAAAACACATCTTATTTTGATTTGCATTTCTTTTATTATCAATGTGTGTGAATATCTTTTTATTTTTTAATTTTATTTGCCATTTTTATTTCCTCTTTTTCAAGTTAGTCTTGCATCTTTTATACAAGGTGAATGCATTCCATGGGTGCCCCCTCATCTTGAAATAATTGATGGCTAGTGATAAAAATAACACCGAGGCTTATGGGTCTTCTCCAAAGTGTGAGCTCTAGGATAAACAGCTAGTAACCAAAAGCGGGCTCTGACTCCCCTACCTTTCAGTATGTTTCAGAGAAATGTACTGCAGTAGTTAGAAACTGCTAGTAGACACTCTAGAAAGCTATCAAGAAGCCAAAAGAGGGGCTGGGGATGTGGCTCAAGCCAAAAGAGGGGCTGGGGATGTGGCTCAAGCGGTAGCACGCTTGCCTGGCATGCCTGCGGCCCGGGTTTGATCCTCATCACCACATGCAGACAGGGATGTTGTGTCCACCGAAAACTAAAATATAAATAAAATTAATATTGAAATTCTTTCTCTCTCTAAAAAAAAAAAAAAAAGAAGAAGAAAAAAGCCAAAAGAATTTTAAAAAATCCTGAGTAACAGTGAGTTTGAAATTCTTCCTTCTTCACACCAAACTTTCCTTCCCCAAGTTTCTGCTTGTCTAATTATGTGGGTTGGGGTTAGGCAAATTAGAAAATAAACATGATATAGAAGGTTTTTCTGTTGTAATATGATGTTTTCTCAAATTTATTTTTGAAGGGAGTGTGAGATTATAGAGATAATCTTCTGTTCTCTCCATTACAGAGACACCTACGAGTATGAACTCACCTTGCGAACTGACCTCTACACCAATAAACACACACAGTGGTTTTATTTTCGAGTTCAAAACACCAGAAAAGATGTCACCTATCGCTTCACCATTGTCAACTTGCTGAAGCCTAAGAGCCTGTATACTGTAGGCATGAAACCACTCATGTACTCCCAATTGGATGCCAACATCTACAACATTGGTTGGAGGAGAGAAGGAAATGAAATCAAGTACTACAAGAATAACACAGACAATGGGCAGCAGTCTTTCTACTGTCTTACGTGGACCATTCAGTTTCCACATGACCAGGACACTTGCTTCTTTGCACACTTTTACCCATATACATACACTGATTTGCAGTGCTACCTCTTGTCAGTGGCAAAGAACCCCATCCAGTCTCAGTTCTGCAAGCTCCGAACTTTATGCAGGAGCTTAGCAGGAAATACTGTCTACTTGCTCACCATCACCAACCCATCCCCGACCCCTCATGAAGCTGCTGCAAAGAAAGCTGTGGTCTTGAGTGCCAGAGTGCACCCTGGGGAAAGTAATGCCTCCTGGATTATGAAAGGCTTTTTGGATTTCATCCTTAGCAACTCCCCAGATGCCCAGCTCCTTAGAGATATTTTTGTCTTCAAGGTAGTTCCCATGTTAAATCCAGATGGCGTGATTGTGGGGAATTATAGGTGTTCATTGGCTGGAAGGGACTTGAACAGGCATTATAAAACCATCCTGAAGGAGTCTTTTCCTTGCATCTGGCACACGAGGAACATGATCAAAAGGTGAGACCTTTTATCCGTTGGTCTTTCTGTGAGTGCTGAGCCTTTTGTCATATACTCTGTCTTATGGGGAATGAGGTCTCTTTTAAAAAAAAAAATATTTAGGGTCTGGGGTTGTGGCTCAGTGGTAGAGTACTCGCTTAGCATGTGTGAGGCCCTGGGTTCAATCCTCAACACCATATAAAAATAAATAAATAAAATAAAGGTATTCTGTCAAACTACAACTAAAAAATAAATTAGAAAAATAAATAAGTGAAATAAAGGTATTGTGTCCTACTACAACTAAAAAATATTTTTAAAAATTTATTTTTTAGTTTTAGGTGGATACAATATCTTTATTTTACATTTATGTGGTTCTGAGGATTGAACCCAGTGCCTCATGCATGCTAGGTGAGCACTCTACCAGTGAGCCACAACCCCAACTCCTCTCTTTTGTTGTTCTGTCATTAGATATGGCTTTGGATGGTTTTTACCAGTCCCTTTGACGTCACATGGCTTTGTCAGATCTTTGGATGTAAACTAAATATGCAACACTTTGGCTAGAGTCTTTTCATTTAGAAGTCAAACAACTGAGTGGAAAAGATCAGAGGTCAGGGAAGTTGTGGGTCTTCATGATGAAACTTGTATATTAGGGGCTGGGGTTGGGGCTCAGCAGTAGAGTGCTCACCTAGCACATGTGAGGCCCTGGGTTCGATCCTTAGCACCACATAAAAATAAATTAATAAAAAATAGGTATTGTGCCCAACTACAACAAAAATAAAATATTAAAAAAGAAACTTGTATAGTAACAATAGTGGCTAATAATTAGTGCTTATGTATGAAGTGACAGTATGTTAGTGCTTTACTTATATGATCCGTTTAATCTCCACATTAATGAGATCCTTTAGGATTAATATCCTGTCTTGTATATAATGAGGAAACTGAGGACCAGAAATGTTAAATGACCTGAACAAAATCATACAGCTAGTGAGTGACAGGGTGTATATTTGAACACAGTCTCTCTGGTTCCACAGTCTGAGTCCCTTATTACCATTTTATGTTACCTCTCATGAAGAATAAAAAATCAGTCAGCACTTTTCAGGCCTGTGTAAAAGCAGTCAAAGGTTAAAATGTAATAGTGCCCACCTTAAAGGAGTGAAAATGCAACGGATAAGAATGTGCAAATGAAGCTGAGTGCAGTGGCACACTCCTACAATCCCAGTGACTAGGGAGTCCAAGGCAGAAGAATCACAAGTTCAAGGCCGGCCTCAGCAACTTAGTGAGGCCCTTAGCAACTTAGTGAGATGCTGTCTCAAAATAAAAATAAAAAGGACTAGGAATGTAGCTCAGTGGTCAATCCTAATACAAAAAAAAAAAAAAGAAGTAAATGCACACCTTCTAACCATACCTGTGTGAACAGGTGTGAGTAGTGTTGGGCTGGTAGAGTAACTAGGGGCATGTGTGTGGGAGTCAGCTTGGCCTGCGTTTGAGACATTGTTTCACTATTGGTGGGATCTATGATCTTAGCCAGATGATTTAACCTCAGTGAGCTTTAGCTTTCTCATCTGTAGAATGGTCATAATAATACCTGCATTGAGTGGTTACTGTTAGGATTAAATGAGATGATCCATGTGATTTATTTAGCATAGTACAAGCACCTTGTAAATGTGTACGATTATTGTTATGACCCTCTTCATCCAATCATCATCATCATGGAGAAAGTGAGCATGTTTGGGAAGTTGGAATAAGTGTCCTGAGTGATCCAGAGACAAAGAAGGGCTTGTAGGAAACGGGCCCTAGAAAGTCGAAAGCAAAGGCAATCTGTGATTCCCTACAACTGCAGTCTCTCTCCCTTCCTCACGTTCTTCACAGTGGGCTTCTTTTAATAGGTTTTCTCCACTTCTTGTCCACTTATCCAGGTCTACCCACTACTTTTTCATTATGAGTCCTTCTCGCAAGGGCATATATTATTTTTATTTTATTCTTTTTCCATAAGAGGAATTGAACCCAGAGTTGCTTTACCAATGAGATACATCCCCAACCCTTTTTATTTTATTTATTTAGTTAGTTATTTTGAGACAGAGTCTCGCTGAGGGTTTTTTTTTTTTAATATTTATTTTTTAGGTGTAGATGGACACAACACAATGCCTTTATTTTTATGTGGTGCTGAGGATCGAACCGGGTCCCGCCTGTGCTAGGCGAGCACTGTACTGCTGAGCCACAATCTCAGCCCCTCGCTGAGTTGTTTAGAGTCTCACTAAGTTGCTGAGGCTGGCCTTGAACTTGGAATCCTCCTGCCTCAGCCTCCTGAGTTGCTGGGATTACAGGCATGTGCCTGAGAGCATGTTTTCAGAAATGGATGGGGATAGTGTCCATTGGAGGCCACTAGCAACTGAAATTTTCTGAGGAGGGAAGGTATCAACAGCCATACTCCTAAAAGAATCCAGATGATCCTGGATTGTTTGCATGCATTTGGAGGTCCCCTGAGTCCTTTGTTTGCCCTCTCAACAGACTTCTTGAAGAAAGAGAGGTTCTTTTATATTGTGATTTTCATGGTCACAGCCGTAAGAATAATATCTTCCTGTATGGCTGCAATAACAACGACCGGAAGTACTGGCTTCATGAGCGAGTCTTTCCTTTAATGTTAAGCAAAAATGCACCAGATAAGGTAAGCACATGAGGTAATTTTCTGTCCATTAGACTTAGGTACAAGGGAGCTTACTGCTTCCTAGAAGTAGTGTTTGGTAAATCCCAGCAAAATAGATTTAGGAATTGCTCTGTGTCCATCAGTCAATGGAGGAAAAAATGTGATATATCCACACAGGGGAATGTTATTTAGCAATAAAAAGATTAAGGTGCTGATACTCTAGGGTAAGGAAGAACCTTGAACACATTAAGCTAAGTGAAAGAAGCCAGACACAAGAAGCCACTTAACATATGATTCCATTCTATGCAGTGTTCAGAAGAGGCAAATTTAGAGACGGAAAGTGGTTCAGCAGGGCTGCTGGAGGAGGGTGGAATGGGGCATGACTGCCATTGAGTAGTGATTTTCTTTTGTGCATGTGTGTGTGTGCATGCAATGCTGGGGATTGAACTCAGGGCTTCGCTCTACTACTGAGCTACATCCTCAGCCCTTGAGTTTACCTTTGAGGTAATGAAAATGTTATAAACTTCAATTATGGTAATGGTTACACAACTCCGTAAAACATTGAACTGTGCACATTAAATGAATGAATTTTATGATGTGTGAGTTATATCTTAATAAAAATGATTTTTTTTAGCTTTTGGTGCTGGCAACAACTCGGGGCCTCATTCATGCTAAGCTTATGCTGTACCACTAAGCTACACCCCCAGCCCAAGCTCAGTTTTTGAAATTTGCTCTTGATTATTCCACCTGGGCATTAGTTAAAACTCTTGTGGGCAAAGTTATCTATCACCTTTAATCCTGTGGTTGGTGAAGTAAGCCAGTATTCCCAGTTGTCCTAGGAACCCTAGTCCAGCAAAATGCACATTGGTGGAGGGGAAGAAGAAAGGGAGGAATGGGCAATTAAGACTGAAAACAAAAAAAATGCACTCTCTAGCCTTTGGAGGATCACAGTCCATGTGCAGTGCTCTGAGTGGTCCTGCAGAGGAATTCTGTTAAGTTTTGTTCACCCTCACCTCCCTGACTGACATGACCACAGAACTCCTCCTCCCCCACCCCCTTAAGACTATTGACATCTCCCAGAATTAATGTTTTATCGAACATACTTTAGGAAATAATGTATATAGACAACCAAGGAAGCCATTCTTGTTTAAAAAATGAATTTTTGATGTTAATGAATATTTGTCAGTTTATAATTAACAGAGAATTTGGATTTCTCTTTAGTTTTCTTTTCATAGTTGTAATTTTAAGGTCCAAAAGTGCAAAGAAGGAACAGGAAGAGTAGTGATGTGGCGAATGGGAATCCTAAACAGCTATACCATGGAGTCTACCTTCAGTGGGTCTACCCTAGGTGAGCTCTCCTTTGTAGATCATGAGTCACCCACAGGGGGAAGCCACACACAGCACCTGGGGAGATGAAAGGCCTGGGATTGCTGGGGAGATAGTGATTTAGAGGATTTCCTTGTCTGGCCCTCTACTGAGTTTGAGTACTCTGCATGTGAATGCGCAATACAATATTTGAAAGTATTGTATTGTTTAGAAGCATATTGATCTAGAATCAGAGGTGGTATTTTTTAAAGTTATTCATAAATTAGATTTCCATTCAATCCTTAAGATATAATAAGAAATGTTTGTGGATTTTTCTCCAGGCAGTAAAAGAAACATTCACTTTACTATTGAGGACCTGAAGTCCCTGGGTTATCATGTGTGTGACACCCTTCTGGATTTCTGTGATCCTGATAAAACAAAGGTAAAAATGTTTTTTCAAGAAACATGGTGCTTTTACTGTGATCAGTTTCAAAGTCAGTACAGTGGGATTACATGTGTTCTTTATTTTCATCTTAATATTTTTTGAAGCTTTTATATTTAAGGAAAATTTAAAAGCCCCAGCCTGCAGTGTTGTCAACAAATGGTAAGACCTCATCATCCTCTAGAGTTGGAGACTGTCCTTTGGCACCCCTTTCCCTCACTTCTGGCCTTGCCCATGGCAGCACCAGTTCTTACTTTCCTTTCTCCTATTTTAGAAAAAGAGCAACTTGGTACAGGTATTTCAGAAAATCAGTGTCCTTGCTCTTCTCCCAAAGTAATCCGTCTTTTGTGCATGGGTGGACTTTATCCTCTTCTTCCTCTCCCCTCAACTGTGGGTGTTCTCAAGCAGCCCCCTTCTAAAACACAAAGACTTTCTTTGGCCATGTTTCGCCAGTGGGTTATTTCTATCTCCCTAACTCATCTCTCATACCCCTTCTGAAATGTTGGCTTGGTGTGCACCATTCTGGATACAATTGTTTAATTAAAAAAATAAAAAATAAAAGGAAAATCTGGGGGTTAAGGGTGCAGCTCTGTGATGGAGTGCTACTTGCTTCTCATGCACAAGGCTTTGGGTTTAACCCCCAGCACTGTAAGAGAAAAGTAAAATTTGTCCACAGCATGGCCTATTTTAATCTCTCTCCTTTTTTTTTTTTTTTTTTTTTGGTGCTGAGAATTGAACCCAGGGGTGCTCTAGCACTGAGCTAAATCAGCCCATTTTGTTTTTATTTTGAGATATAGTCTTGCTAAATTGCTGAGGCTGGCCTCAAACTTCCCATCCTCCTGCCTCAGTCTCCTGAGTTGCTGGGATTACAGGCATGCACCACTGTGCCTGGCTTTAACTTTTCTTTTTGATTGGTTTTTTTGTTTGTTTGCTTGCTATGCTGGAGATTGATTCTAGAGCCTCCACAAGTTAGGCAAGTGTACTTGGCTATGCCCCCAGCCAAGTCATCCTTACCATATGCCAAAATCTAAACAACTCCATTCAAACTTTTTCTTCTTTGCAGCTCAGAAAAAATGAAATAAGTCAGACCATTTCATTATTTAAGAAGTTGGCCATAGCCAGAGAAAAGAGGCTAAAGGAGTGCTTGTATTTTCTGCCCTAAAAATACTTCTATTTCTATAGCTTATGGAATTTATCTGTTAACCTGTCCTTAGTAGTAGAGGTTGCAATTTAACTCATCTTTTTCCCCCTTTCAGCATATACTCAGGAAGTATTTGATGAATAAATACATAGATGATCAAAAGTAGTTCTTTTTTCACTGTCACAGTTTACTCAGTGTCTAGCAGAACTCAAGGAACTCTTACAACAGGAAATCCACAAGAAATTCAATGAACGTGGAGAAGAAGTGAATTTAGAAGGAAGTTGGAGTGACATCTCTTTGTCTGATATTGAGTCCAGGTAATAAATTTCAAAGAAAAATAAGTTTTATATATATATTTAGTTGGTTTTGAGCTTCAATAATAACAGAGGAAATCATATCCTCAGTTCATGGCACACTTAAATACACTTTATTTCTTTGGCAGTTACAAACTGAGCACATGTCCATGCCAACCTCTGTTCTGGGCCCTAGAAATAAACAGGGAGTTGAGCACACAGTTTATGGAGGGCGTTGGAGCAATCATAAAGCCTTTGCTCTTGACTCCATGGGATATAGGAAGTCTTCAGAAGGTTTTGAGTAGAGGAGTGTCATGATCTGACTTAGGTTTTAGTTTCAACAGGAACACTGACTGCTCTGTGAAAAATGGACTGTGACGCTCTCTTGCAACAATATAGGTGAAAGGTGATGGTGGCTTAGACCAAGGCAGTAGTGTGGTTGAGGGAGAGGTGTGTGAATCGTGACTGTACTGGGATTCTAGATTGAAATTACAAACATTAGAATTTGCTCATGATTCCCCCCACCCAAGTTTGCAGTCACTTTAATTTGGTGCTCTTAGGAGAGGGCAGAATGGCAGTAGTGAATAGGGAAGGTGGTGCTTCCAGAGCCACCCCTCTGGGGTCTAGTCAGTCCCATCCTCCAGTAACTGAATATCATTGGGGCCAAAGCAACAATATTCTTCCTCCTCCAAGATTGGGAGGCTGTTGGCCTCTTGGTGTTTCACAAGCCTCTCAGTTTCCCAGCAGGCCCACTCTTGCAACCCATAGTCAGGCAGATAAGTCACAAAGGAACTGACAAAGACCAGGATGATAGAGAAGCCAGAGAAGATCACCTGAGTGTTCCAGAGACTCACAGCAGGACCTTTGTCATAACTATGGGAGTCTGGATTCTTCTCATAGAGGTTTTTGTCCTCAGGATCTGGGTCCTCCCGCCAGTGTGTGGTTATTTCTGGTGTCCTCTTTCTCACTGAAGCAGATGGGACAACCATAGCTCTGGAGGAGCTGGATTCCCAGCAAACGTGGACACTCAGTCTAACCTCCATGAAAGATAGTGCTTCTAACTAACCAACCACACACACACACATACACACACACACACTCACACACGTATTTCTTTTTCTTTTTGGTTGTGCTGAGGATTAAACCCAGCGTCTTGCACATGCTTGGCAAGCACTGTACCACTGAGCCATGCCGCCATGGTTTCCACCCTCCCTTTTACACTCTGCTACTGCCACACTGGCTTTCTCACTCTTCCTTAGGCTTGCCAGGCCCTCTCCAGCTTCAGAGACTGAACTAATAATTAATTTTTTTAATATTTATTTTTTAGTTTTAAATGGACTCAATATCTTTATTTTACATTTATGTGGTTCTGAGGATTAAACTCAGTACCTCAAGCATGCTAGGCGAGTGCTCTACCACTGAGCCACAACCCCAGCCCCTGAACTAATAATTTATTATGCCTAATTCCCCAGATATCCACATGACTAATCCCTTCACCTCTTTCAGGTCTTCACTTAATGTTACCATTCTCAACGTGGCCCACATTCCTTACTCTCATCCTGCAACTTGCTACCCCTATTCCCACTTCCGTGCTCTACTTTTTTATATATATATATAGCATTTATCACCTCCTGTCATTTATCATTTTAAAATCTTTATTGTGTCAGTTGTTTCTTGTCTTTCTCCCTAGTAGGCAGTGGAGATCTTTATTTTGTTCACATGTGTCTCATGTGCCTGGAATGAGGCCTGTTCTGTACCTAGCAGAGGGAGAGTTCAGTGAATATTTGTTGAATTAATTTAGGATGCAGGATCTCACTTCTACCCTATAGTATCCTCAGCTCTTTCAAGAAGCCCTCTGTGGGTGAGTATCTCACAGTGTGCAAGAATACCTTCTACTCCACCTTACCTGCCAGGGTGCCTTAGGCTGCCCCAGCTCCTTTAAAAGATTGCTGATGGGGCTGGGATTGTGGCTCAGCGGTAGAGCACTTGCCTTGCATGTGCGGGACCCGGGTTCGATCCTCAGCACCACATAAAAATAAAGGCATTATGTTGTGTCCATCTACACCTAATAAAATAAATATTAAAAAAAAAAAAAAGATTGCTGGGCTGAGGGCTGGGGTTGTGGCTCAGCATGCATTAAGTGCTGGGCTCAATCCTCCGTACCACATAAAAATAAAATAAAGATATTGTGTCCACCTATAACTAAACAATAAAAAATAAAGAAATAAAAGATTGCTAGGCTGGGTTTGGCGTTCTGCTGGAGTCTGCACTCTGGCCCATGGAGCACAGAGGAAAGGGCTGGCTTTCTATCGGTTCTATGTGGCACATTGAGATCTGGACCCTAAAGCAGGTTTGGCTGAGTCTCATAAATGTTTCCTTAGAAACCTTAAACCAGACCGTCAGCCAGGTAGGGTTCCCCATTAATCACATCACCCCTTCCACTCTTCCTCAGTCCTTTGCCAAACTCTCCAAACTCACTGCAACAACCCCTCTCCACTTTTAGCCTCAAAAACAAAATGTTCCTTGCATGTCAACACATGCATATAGAGCCCAGGGGAATCAGCTCAGAAATAGCCAGACTCTCCACTGCTGCTGGCTCAGTAGGGAAACTGATGAAGTTAAGAAGTATTGAAAACAGCTCGGCTCAATGGTGCACACCTGTAATCCCACAGACTTGAGAGGCTGAGGCTAAAGGATCACAAATTTGAGGTCAGCTTCAGCAACTTAACAAGACCCAGTCTTAAAATAAGAACTAGAAAAGGGCTAGAGATATAAGTCAGTGGTATAGTGCCCCTGGGTTCAATCCCCAGGTTCAGAAAAAAGAAAAAAAAAATTATTGAAAACAATTTGCTGGCTTCTTTGGCAGGAAGCCAGATAACACAAGCCTCCAGAGGGCGCCACCTGTCCATTCTTATGACTGTGCAGACAGGCAGGCTGGGAGGGTACAAGCCCAGTTTGAGTTTACTGTCTATATGTGTACATACATGATTTTTGACGCTCTTTGGGATATACTATTTCGTTAAAATTTTCTATTATCTCCAAAAGGAACTTCAGATTATTAATAGAGCAAAGGCTTGACTGGATTGGAAAAGCCTCATGAGAACAGGGAATTAGAAAGTAGATCACAGAAGACAGGGCTTTCTTCCTGCTGTCTTGCCATAGGGCTCCTCAGGTGTATTGGGGGGTAGGGTGGGAGGAGGTGCTAAAAGAATGAAAGGCTGGGCAAAAGAATGATTTCAAATCTTGTCTTCCAATGAGGTCTGACTTTTGTCCCTAAGACACTTAATATTTGGAGCCTTTATCAGAGCTATCAGTTCTAACCAATCAAACCCCAGGAAAGGCAAAATATAATGTGACATTCAAGTAAAGGACATGATGAAGGAAGGAAGAATTGATTATCTGAGACCCCATTCATTCTAGCACCTGTAAAAGAGAGGAGGGGACAGTTTCTGGAGAAGACTTTAGTCTAGATATGTGTCTAAAACTTTTGAAGGGAGAATACTGCCCTGGAGCTGGGGGTCATCAGTGAAAGAGTGCCTGCTTAGCTGCACGAGGCCCTGGTTCTCTACCCAAGGGGGGAGAAAAAGTATTTCCTGGTCTGTGGTCAGTAAACTGTTAGATTTACTTTTCTATATATTCAACACATTTTTACAGAGTTCTTGGTAGGATCCTGACTTTCAAAACTAGTACCAGCCAGACAGGAATGAATGAGGAAAAGCCTCTGCTGTTCTCTGGGGCTGCACATTGAGAATCCTGTGGCCTCACACCCTCTGCAACTTTGCGCTTTGAACCAGTATCCCTTTGTCACATGGATTGTGAACTCCTTGGTCTAGTAGGGGCTCTGCTTCACTCCTCTGACTCCTCTGTGCTAAACATACTGCCTGGCATACAGCAGGTGTTCAGAAGGAATAAATGAATGTGTTTGTCAAGAAGATTTTATAACTGGTGCATAGACAATTCAGCAAATAGTGGACTAGACATCTAATCCCACGTGGCTGGTCTGGTAAATCTTAGACATCCTGCATATGTTAATAACAGCTATTTCCCTTTCTTCTTTCCCTCTGGAACTAGCACCAGTGGTTCTGACAGCTCCCTCTCAGATGGTCTCCCTGTTCACCTACTGAACATAGTAGATGAGGTAAGATTATGTTGAGTTTTATACCTAGGAACTAGCAATCTTTAAAAAAAATCATGCCATTCCTGCATAATTTCGTGAGTTTTCCAAAAGTCTTAATATCTACAGAAAATATAGCAATAGGGCTAGGGGTGTGGCTCAATGGCTTTGCCATACCTAACATGGGCAAAGCCCTGGGTTCCATCTCCTGAACTGCAAAAAAAAGAAAGAGCAATAGGGTTCTAACTGGGTCACCCTGCCCTAGAGTCTTTTGTTTTGTCCTTTATAACTTTTTTAAAAAATATTTATTTTTTAGTTGTAGTTGATCACAATACCTTTATTTTATTTGTTTGTTTTTATGTGTTGCTGAGGATTGAACCCAGGGCCATGCATATACTTGGCCAGTGCTCTGTCACTGAGCCGCAAACCCTGCCTTTATTATAATTTTAAAAAAAAATGGAGTTGTAGATGGACAAAATGCCTTTGTTTATTTTTATGTGGTGCTAATGATCAAACCCAGTGCTTTACACGTGCTAGGCAATCACTCTGCCACTGAGCCCCAGCCCCCTTCATAATTTTTTATGCTTAATTATTAAAGCCACTTTTTGGTAACAATAAAACTGAATCTTTCCACCACACGTCTAATGATCCAGACCTGACATATTGCCATAGTCATCTGATTTTATCTTGTAAATAATAGATATTTGGTTATTGATATAAATGCCCCTTTGGCAGTATACCTGTAATAGTGGAATTCAGGTGTGTTAAGTAAAGAATAGCCTTTGGTAAGAAGATAACCATTTGCTTATTCTCTAAGCCAACAACATGAGGGCCACAACATTTTTGGGTTTTGAGTTTTTGTTGTTGTTTTGTTTCTTTGGTACCCAAAATTGAACTGAGGGATGCTCTACCACCGAGATGAATCATGAGCCCTTTTTAATTTTTTAAAAATATATTTTTAGTTGTGGATGGACACAATACCTTTATTTTACTTATATTTATATTTTTATATGGTGCTGAGGATCAAACCCAGTGCCTCACACATGCTAGGCAAGCATTCTACCATGAGCTACTTAGGGTCTTGCTTAGTTGATGAAGCTAGCCTTAAACTTACAATCCTCCTGCCTCAGCCTCCTCTGAATTGCTGGGGATTACAGGCATGTGCCACTGCACTCAGCCCCCACATTTTATTTTGACCGTTGTGTGAAGAGTGCCATGTAAGGGTAAGCATAATTCTGGAACCCCCAGTGAGCAGTTTCTCTGTACTTTCTGGAACAGTTGAATCAAAAGATGATGTCTAAGAAGAAAAAAAAGAAGCCACTTCAAACTAGGAAACAGCGAAATGAGCTGCATCAGAAAAATAAGTTGATGCCAGAGTTCAAGTTAACAGAAGATGCCTCCGTAAGAAAGCCCCGATGTCTACTCTGCTGTCTGGTTCCTGATGTTCCATAGAGGGAGCAGGAAAAAATCTAAAGTTTACTATAATCCAGAAAGAGTAGGGTGTAGCAAGTGGGGGGACTTTGTATTTTGGGTCCTCTAACTATTTTGAGTAGGTTTCAGCCATGGCCCACTGAACCTTTCCTACAGTCTGGTATAGCAAGTCTGGATTTTGACCAAGTCTAGATTTCCAGAGGAAAGAGGTGGTACTGGAAAAGAGGTGGCTAGAGCTAGTCCAGAGTGGCTGGGTAGCTGAGGGATTAGGCCTGGTCCAGGATAAGGACACTGGACAGCTCCTTCTCTATTCTGCTCCTAGATGCCACACCCACCTCCAACCCTCTGCTCTCCAAAAACAAAAATGCTTTCAGAGGTGGGAGTTTTGTTATTGTGTGCATTGGGTCAATTATCAATGAATTGATTGAAAAATATTCTCTTTTCACTTAATTTTTCTAGGACAGGGCAGAACTTGGTCCTACTCTGCAAAAGCAGTCTACCTTTTACAAAACTTTGGAGAATTTCAGATCTTCAGCAATGAAAAATGAAAAACTAAGCCTCAGTGAGGTAATATTTTTTGTTTGACTCTGTCACACAGATTCTCTTATGTCTCCAGTTAGCATGTCTCTCACAGGGTAAAGAATGCAATAGCCATTTCTGTTACCTGTACCTGTTAGTGCCACTGGAAGCAGGGAACATAAAATTTGGTGTGTGTGGTGGTAGGAGGACAACATTGACACTGCTTTGTTTGGACACTGCTGAATTCTGTGTGTGTGTTTGCATGTGTGTGTGTGTGTGTGTGTGTATGTATGTGTGTATTGCTGCGGATTGAACTCAGGGCTTTGTGCATGCAAGGCAAGCACTCCACCAACTGAGCTATATCCCCAGCCCCTGAATTCTAATATAAAATACTGGTGACTTGTGATTTCATACCAATAACATAAGAACAGGCTGTGAATTCACCATCTATCCACCCCACTTAATAGATTTTATCATGTGCATACTACACAACAGGCCCTTTACTGAATGCTGAGAATTCAACATTGAATAAAATACCAGGAGCCTTCAAGTCTGGGGGTGATATTAATAACGAATCAGGAATTTATATCAGTTGTGTGCAGTGGCAAAAAACAGAAGAGAGGCACCCAATTTTTAGTACTTGAAAGATTTATGACTATAAAATCCTTGGTTCTTTTATATATAAAAATAGGTTTTGGTACAATAGTAGCTAATTCTTAGTGGATATGGTGCAAAAGCCCTTGCATGGAATGCCACCCTACAGTTAACAGTGAGTGGTACAGTGAGATCTCATCACACTATACTGGGGAACCTCCACAGAGCATAGCCATTCCTGTTCAGTATTGAGGATGATTTGATGTCTAGTTTAATGGTGGCAAGAGCACAGGTTTTGGGTCTGTATTAAATTCCTCTTCCATCCCCACAATTTAATACAGGTTGAGCATCCATCATCTGAAATACTGTAGAATCTGAAACTTTTTAAGGGTCAGCGTGACACCACAAGGGGAAATTCTGTATCAACAAAACTTGTTTCATGCAAAATTTCTAATATTTAAAAGTATTTCATAAAATTACCTTAGTAGGGGTATGTGTATAAGGTGCATATGAAACATAAAAGAACTTATTTTTTCTTTTTCTTTTTTTGGTGTCAGGAATTGAACCCAGGGGTGCTACATCCCTAGCCTTTTTAAATTTATTTAGAGACAGGGCTTAATAAGTTGCTTGAGACTTCTCTAACTTTCTGAAGCTGGTTTTGAATTTGCAATCCTCCTGCCTCAGCCTTCTGAGCCACTGGGATTACAGGTGTGCTCACCACTCCTGGCTTAACTTCATTTTTAGATTTGGGTCACCTCCCCTAAGATATCTGTCGCATTATGTATATGCATATATTCCAAAATCGGAAAAAAAAATCTTAAATCTGAAACACTTCTGGTCCCAAGCATTTATTTTTTTCTGTTTTTGGATTGAACTAACAGGCTCTCGACCACTGAGCCACATCCCCAGCCCTATTTTGTATTTTATTTAGAAACAGGGTCTCACTGAGGTGCTTAGTGCCTCGCTTTTGCTGAGGTTGGCTTTGAACTCGTAATCCTCCTGCCTCAGCCTCTTGAGCCAACTGGGATGACAGGCGTGTGCCACTGTTCCTGGCTTCTTGGTTCCAAGCATTTCTGATAAGGAATGCTCAGTCTATATTCTGTGAGTTACATAACCAGCCAAGGACTCAGTTTTTGCATTTAAAATATTGGGATAATGATATCTTCATCATCACTTATTGTGAGCATTAGAAGTGAAGCTATAAAGTACCTGGCATGCGGTAGCCACCCAATAAACATTGGGTCCCCTTTCCTTCTTTTCATTGACTTGTTACTCATTTGTGTCTTGCCTTTCTTTTTGTGTTAGAATATCATCATGAGTAAACATGCATGACTAAAATGCACACAAGTAATATATATTCAATAAAATCACATTCACATGGAAAATTTAGTGAGGATATGTTCATTTATTTTAAACACAGTTAAATGGAGGAGAGAGAAGCACCTCCATGGACTCCAAAATGACACTGATTCTACGTAAGAATAAAGAGAAAATGCAGGTACTTCACATAATATATATGTGCATATACATATATATGTATATTCACATACTGTGTGTGTGTGTGTGCGCGCGCGTGTATAAATTGCTGGCATATATATGGTGCATATATATATATATATATATACGTACATACATACATATATGTGTACATATACCAGCAATTAAACGAGCAATTAATATTAGTTTTCAAATGTATTATGTGATTTGGAGGAATTATACTACTGACCTTCCCAGATTTGTTCTGCCTGGGTGAACATCTAAGGCAGTTTATGCCCTTAGGCTACACATCACGTGGCCACCCTGGGACTTAGTCCACATGGTACTAAAGAACTGAGAAAGAGCACCCAAATCTGAAAGCATGCTAACAAGAATTTAATTTTATTTTAACAAACATTTGTTAGGCTGCCGTTGTTTTGTAATTGTATGGCAACATGTCAGTTTAGATAGCGATAGAGAATACATAATGTAGTAGTTCTCAGCCCAAGGAGATGTCAGCAACACATGGGATGTCACCATCAGTTGTGAGGTATACCTCACAGCCAGTGTTACCACTGGTCACTCAATCTGAGGTTTGTGAATGTCTTACTCCATTTCCGTTATTATAAGACCTGAGACTGTGTGATTTATAAATGAAAGAAGTTTGTTTAGCTCACAGTTCTGAAGGCCAGAAGTCCAAGATTGGGTGCGTATACCTCTGGCAAGTGCCTTGTGCTGCATCATGACATAACAGAAAAATGGAATGGCAAGTGGGACAAGCAAAAAATGCAAAGCACAGGAGGCAGCCTCACTTTATTACAACCTGCTTTTGTGGTAACCAGTCCAGTCTCATCAGAATTAACCTGGTCCCTTTCACAATCTCTCATGCACATTTACACGTGCATATTCTAAGAGGGAGGAGAAGGAAGAGGGCATCAGCTAGTAAGCTGTCCTTTCACATAGCCCTGGGTATACCTGTGGGAAGGTGTGGCTCACACGAGTCTGACTCAAAGGTTGAGAATCACCAGGTTAACTTAGGCATATTAGACACAGAGTGGACAGTCCTCCCAGGGTGACCCTGCTGTTTTCCAAAGTCTGTTGTTTGGGAATTCCTGGGTTGATGCTCTCATTTACCTATCAGGGTCTTCTGGAGAACCTGCTTCTATGTGTGGGGCTCCTAAAGGACTATAAAGACAAGATCCTCTATGAGTGACAGAAACTGAAGAGCAAAGAAAAGAGGTTTCAATGAAGTCAAATCAGAAAATTTTCCAAGTGCTATGATACATGCCTAAACTAAACAGGAGGCTTGCAGCTTTGAGGCCAGCCTGAACAACTTAGCAAGACCCTGTCCCAAAATAAAAAGTAAAAAGGACTGGAGGTAAAGAAACTGGTAAATGAGGAACTTGTCCTTTTTCCTCATTTAGCATTCATTTCACAAGGTCTGTAGGTAACTAAATCCATATTCCAAAAATAAAACATACTAGTTAGATTGTGACAAGTAACCATGGATTAAACTAAATACAATATACTGGATGAAAGCCATCCAAACTTTAATCTTTACTTAATTTGCTTAAAATTTCTAGTGGAATATTTCTCTAACGGGGATATGGGCATATCAGATAAACAATTGAATATGTGGGGCAGCTATCTTGATGGATCAAGTTTTTCTCTTTGTGTAATGTTTCTAGACAACTTATGAAATACAGTCCCTCTGCTTCTTGGGGCAATTCAAGTGTTGCTTCTGCACCTTGACTTGGTGAGAGACTAGGACAAATGCTTAATTTACCTCTGTCCTGTAACAATGTTGACCACTTGGGCATGGGGGAAAAAACACAAATACTCGCCACTAATTCCTAGTAAGGCCAACCTGAGTCCTAATTGTAACTGTAGAATTTGCAAAAGAAAGTGAGTTCAACTCTTCTATCTTGTTTGCACAGAGTAAGAGGCCAGGTTTTACACCATCATGCCCCCAAAGAGGAAGCACAGACTCCAGCCAAGAGTCAGCTCCAGGTATGAAGCCAAACTGGCCTAGGAACAGATATCCTGTCACAAAAAGAAGCACCACTGCTATGGCAGCATACCCATCCTTGCACGTAAACACATACCCGTAGATGTGCCTTGGCTTTGCCACACAGGCACTTCCTCAGAGTCTTTGGGTCCTATGCATTCTGTAAGGGGTTGTGGTATGTTGTGCTGTGCATGCATCACACCATGATGACCTTACACTTTGTACTTACTTACACCACATGCATGTCCTCAGATGCATCGCTTATGCATTCAGTTATTTTTTCCTAAGATTTTTATTATGATGACATCTGTGCTCATGGAACTACCACACAGATAAACCTCATTTTTAACTAATAGATATGCTCTCTAAAATTAGCTACAAATCAATTTTAATAGATCAAATTCTGTTATAAACATGTTTGGGGAGTGTGCTATGTTAAAATAAGCCTTGTGTCAAAGCTTTCAAGTGATAAACAATCAGACTATATATATATCAGGTTTGCTCAAAGTGAGTTATTCCCACAGAAAGATAACAATTCATGTTTTACTCAAAATTTAATATTGCATATATTATGTTCAACAAGGTTATGTAAATTTTTAACTCGATGATTAAAGTACTTTCTCTCTAACCACTTGTTTCCTTTGATTGGTTAACTGCTTAATCTTATGTGAACAGATATCTTATTGTAGCAGTTTTTGTGCAATGGTCCCTCATGAACACCAAGCATAGTCTGCTGTTTTCAGCATGTCGTCTCAGCATGCTAGAGTCATATTAAAGAGGAGTCACTATAGCTTATTACAGGCTACCTCTAGTTTTGACTTTTCCTTTTACCTATCACTTTGGATTAAAAGTTTTCTGGCAGTGTGCAGTGGCACACACCTAGAATCCCACTGCCTCTGGAGGCTGAGGCAGGAGAATCTCAAGTTCAAAGCCAGCCTCAGTAACTTGAGAGACCCTGTCTCTAAATAAAATATAAAAAGGCTAGGGATGTTGTCCAGTGGTTAAGGGCCCCTGGGTTTGATCCCTTGTACCAAAAAAACAAGAATTATAAAATGCTGGAGACAAACTTTGTTTGAAAGTTGTTCAGAAATACTTGTTTTTGCTCCAAATAAATTTGGAAGAAATTTGTAAAAAGCATCCCAGTATGATGATATTATTTTTGGAATCAAATATCAGAACACATGATCAGTTGTTTTTATCACTGATCATGTGAGCTTTATGAAGCCAGGAATGATTGTGTCTGCTGGAGAGACTGAGACAGGAAAATCACTTGAATCCAAGAGTTCCAGACCAGCCTGGGCAATATAGACCCCCATCTCAAAAAAAAAAAAAGTTTTGAGGCTAGGGATATAGCTCAGTTGGTAGAATGCTTGCCTTGCATGCACAAGGCCCTGGGTTCAATCCCCAGCAACACACACACACGCACAGAAAGTGTTTTGAACACTAAACTTCCTAAACATGTGGCTTGCATGTGTGTTGAAGGGTTAAAAAGAAGATAATCCTATGAAACTCAGGAGAAGCATCACATCAAATAATTGCTAAAAGACTAGTATGCCTGAGCCCATGGGTTAAATTCCCAGCAACACACACACACATACATAATAATAACAACAACAATAGTAACTTCTAAAAGACCATTATAGTAAATTTCTAGCTCTGTTCAGCTCATTTGAAGTGGCATTTGTTCTAAAGCATTGATATTTGTTTGTTTGTTCTCAGAAGAGTGTGGCAAGTTTTCCTCCTCAGATGAGGAAGAAGTACCACATAGGAATTTTCATGCTATGGTATCTAGGAGCCAATGTGCCTGTCATTTCTCCTTAAGCTTTAGTAGGAGGCTAAAGGAGTGACTCTGGCTAGAAATTTTTTTTTTTTAAATATTTATTTATTTATTTATTTTTAGTTATCGGCGGGCACAACATCTTTGTTTGTATGTGGTTCTGAGGATCGAACCTGGGCCGCACGCATGCCAGGCGAGCGCGCTACTGCTTGAGCCACATCCCCAGCCCCTGGCTAGAAATTTTTGAATGTCACTTGGGCACAGTGGCATATACCTATAACCCCAGCATCTGAGGAGACTAAGGCAGGATGATTGCAAGTTCACGATCAGTCTCAACACTTTAGCAAGGCTCTTAGCAATTTAGTGAGACCCTGTCTCAAAATGTTAAGAAAAAAAGGATTGGAGATATAAGCTCAGTGGTAGACCACCCATGGATTCAATGCCCAGTACTAAACCCACACAAAAAATTTTGAACAGCAGCTGCGCGTGGTGGTCCACACCTGTAACAGGTGGCTGAGGCAGAATTGCAAGTTCGAGGTCAGCCTCAGCAACTTAGTGAGGCCCTAAGCAATTTAGAGAAACCCTGTCTCAAAATAAAAATGTAAAAGGTCTGAGAATGTGACTCAGTAGTTAAATGCGCTGGCTTCAATCCTTGGTACCAAAAAAAAAAAAAAAAAGGATTTGATAGCATTCTAACAGGCGGGCCTGCACAGTGTAAATCCATCTCAGGCTGGTGGAGAAACAGCTTGACGCATCTTCATCACACTGAGTATGAGCTAGGAGAAGGAAACTAGAGTAAAGCAGAAAATAAGCATTTTAATCAGGTCTTCAGATATATAAGGACAACTTATATTCAACAGTTTTTGATGAAGGTCAAGGGCATAGGGGAAGAACCATGAATATATTTGGTGCTTTGTTTTCTTTATAAACCAACTGTGTATTCACTAATAGAAGTAATTTCTTAAGATTCAAAATGGATTTCAGGTCAACACTTTTTTAATATTTATTTTTTAGTTTTAGGTGGACACAATATTTTTATTTTACAATTATGTGGTACGAGGATCAAACCCAGTGCCTCGTGCAGGCTAGGCAAGCTCTGTACCACTGAGCCACAATCCCAGCCCTCAGGTCAACTTTTTGAACCATGTGGACTAATGGGTGTCATTTGACCATCTAGTGGCAGCACATCCTTTTTTTTTTTTTTTTTTGGTGCCAAGTATTGAACTCAGGGAACCACTGAGCCACATCCTCGGTCCTTTTTTTCTATTTTATTTGGAGATAGAATCTCGCTAAGTTGCTTAGGGCCTCACTAAATTGCAGAGGCTGGCTTTGAACTCGTGATCCTCCTGCCTCAGCCTCCTGAGCTGCTGTGATTACAGTCATGCGCCAGACTGGCCTCTTTTCTATTTTGGGAGAAGTGACAACACATCTTGAAAGTGCCATAAATATAAATAGGTAAGGCAATGACAGTAAGCATTACACTTAAGATGTTTTTGGTGAAACATTAACCATAGGAAAAGACATAGAGGCTATTTTGAGAACAAAAATTCTAGGTTCCCCCCCCCCCCCCATTTGTCATTAAGTGCAAGGGTTTTGGAGATCTGGAGATTTTCTGGATACCTAGCCACTCTGAAATGACCATCATCACTGGCTTTAGTTATGTTGTCACCAAATTTGATCACAGCTATATTATTCTATTTTCTGTTGCCATAAATGAATACCATAGATTGGGTAATTTATGAAAAGGAAATGTATTATGGTTTGAGAGGTTGGGAAGTCCAAGGTCTAGTGACCACATTTGGTGAGGGTTGCCTTTTTATGTTTGTTTATTTATTTGTTTTATTCAGTGCTAGAGATCACACCTAAAATCTTGCATATTCCAGGGAAACACTCTATGACTAAGCTACATCCCCAGCTCTGGTGAGGGCCTTGTTGCTGATGGGGACTTAGCAGAGTCCCAGAGTGGTGCAGGGCTTTGCATGGAAAGGTAGAGCAAGCACGCCAGAGAGAGCTTGCTTTTATAACAAAGCCACTCCCTTGATCCACCTCTCAGTGCCATTAATGCTGCTTCCCTGGGGACCCAATTTCTAATACATGAGATTTGGTGAACACAGTTAAACCATAGAAGCAAGTATTGGCAAGAATACTCCACAAAATGCTCTGCTTTGCAGAAATAGAACTACAAACTTCTGTTTTTCCAAGCTGTTCTCAGACTAATTCTGGTTTCATTATGTAGAATAGCAGAGATGTTTCCAGGTCACAGAGATTTGGCACCTTCTGCATAAGATGACTTTGAAGTTACAGAGCCTACTCTGTCCTTTTTTTTTTTTAATTGTTTTGGTTGTAGATGGATGTAACACCTTTATTTTGTTTATTTTTATGTGGTGCTCTACCACTAAGCGACAACCCCAGCCCTCTACACTGTTCTTTAAATTACAAAGACAAACTGTGCAACTTGGCGAGGGTTTGTTAAATTAAATTAAACAGTGTCATTTATGTCATTTCATAGCAGATTATTCTGGGGAGGGCAAGCTCACCTCTGTTGCCAAAGTCCAACATCTTTATCCCTTTTTCTTCACCCTCATACTGTGTGATCAACTAGTAAGAAACCCCGTATTTATTTCCCCTGTTGAATGGGTTCTACCTTGGCACTGTGCAGCTGAGTCATGTGCTCTGTGAAAAACAAGCTTCCTCATGAAAGCAGGTTCTGAGAGGCATTGTTTTAATGTGTATGTTTATAAAGCTCTAGTGACAAACTGCACACCACATGTCCAGAGTTTAATTAGGGTCAGAAGAAAGGAAAATCCCCTAAGAATACAGAAAGAAATATAGGTTAAGCATCCCTAATCCCAAAGTGTGAAATCTGAAATGCTCCCAAATCTGAAATTTTTGGAGCATTAGCATGATACCACAGGTAGAAAATTCTGTGCCTGACCTCATGTTATGGGTTGTGATCAAGTTTATTCAGTGTCCCCAAGGGGGAAGAGATCCTCTCAGCCCCTCTTGCTGCAATACACAAACTTGTGTGTATGTGTATGTGATGCTGGGGATTGAACCCAGGAGACTCACGCATGCTAGGCAAGCACTGCACCACTAAGCCACATCCCCAGCATAAAGTTTTGTTTCCTGTACATAATTATTAAAAATAGTGTAATGTCATGTGCAATGGCATGCACTTGTAGTACCAGCTACTCAGGAGGCTGAGAACAGGAGCCACTTGAGCCCAGGAGTTTGAGATCCACCTGGACAATATAGTGAGACCCTGTTTAAAAAATAAAGAAAGAAGG